CTATCAGGTGAGTCTCTTTTCACCAAAGAACTGTGCACATTTCATTTTGGTGATTTTAGGTTTCGTTCCAAAATGAATGAATTTGTGCACAGACCCTTTAAGAATAGGCATTTTCCCCCTTATGTCTGGTAGTTTTTCTGGGGGTATTCCTCATTGTAGTTAGTAGCCAGTAAAGCCAGATATTATGTCACTTATCTTAGCTGTGCTGAGTCCAAAAGATGCTTATAGCGGTAATGTTCCCCTGCTCAGGTGCCCCCTCCTCCAGAGAAAGTTGCGTACCATAGGATTGCTCTCAGCCAGCCATGAAGCACCACAGCTTGTGAAGGTGCCTTTTTTTCTCTCCAGAAAGGAATTTCTGCCTCTTCCACCTCAGTCAGGACTGTCCCTTGTGGCAGTGGTTCTTTTATCCAGTTTTCAGTTCTCTCTCAGGGGTAATTGTTCCAAGAGTACTTGTAAATTTGTTGTGTCCTTGAAAGGAGGTGAGTTCAGAGTCTGCCTATACTGCCATCTTGACACCTCTCTCTGAAAGAACCCTAAAAAATCAACAGTTAGAAAGCCAACCCCACTTAAAAATGGGCAAAAGATCTGAACAGATATCTCACCAAATAAGATATACAGTTGGCAAATAAGCCTATGAAAAGATGCTCCACATCTTATGTCATTAGGGCATTGCAAATTAAAACAATGAGATACCACTACACATCTGTTAGAATGGTGAAAATCCAATTCAAAGGACAACAGCAAGTGTTGCTGAGGATTCGGAGCAACAGGAACATTCATTCATTGCTGGTGGGAATGCAACATGGCACAGACATCTTGGAAGACAGTTTGGCAGTTTCTAACAAAATTAAACATACACTTACGACATGATTCAGCAATCACACTCCTTGGTATTTATCCAAATGAGTTGAAAACTTATGTCTGCAGAATAACCTGTACATGAGTGTTTACCACAACTTTATGCATAATTGCCAAAACTTGGAAGGAACCAAGATGTCCTTCAGTAGAAGAATGGGTAAATAATCTGTGGTCCATCCAGACAAGAAATATTACTCAGCACTAAAAATAAAGGGGCTATCAAGACATGAGAAGACATAAGATGACCTAAATGCTTATTACTAAGTGAAAAAGGCCAGTCTGAAAAGGCTACATACTGTATGATTCGATTCCAAATATCTGACATTCTGGAAAGGCAAAACTGCAGAGACAGTGAACAGATCAGTGGTTCCCCATGTTCAGTGGGGAAGGAGAGATGAGTAGACAAAGCAGGGTCAATTTTAGGGCACACTGTAATAGTCTATATACGTCCTTATACATTTGTTATAACACATGGAATGTACAACACCAAGAGTGAGCCCTAATGTAGACTATGGACTTGAGGTTATAATGATGTGTCAATGTAGGTTCATCAATTATAACAAATGTACCAATCTGGTGGAGGAAGTTGATAGTGGGGGAGGCTGTGCATGTGTAGGGGCTGGGGGTATATGGGAACCCCACCTCCTGATCAATTTTGTTGTGGACCTAAATTGGCTCTAAAAAATAAAGTCTACCTTAAAAAAAATCAATTGGCCATAAATTTAAATTGGCCATAAACTTTAAAAAAATTGCCCATATTTTTGGACTCTCAATTCTGTTCCATTGATCTATATGTCTATCCTTATGTCAGTAACACACTGTCTTGATTCCTGTAGCTTTGTAGTCAATTTAGAAATCAGAACATGTAAATCCTCCAATTTGGTCTTTGTCAAGATTGTTTTGAATATTCTGGGTCCCTCCCATTTCTATATAAATTTTAGAATCAACTTGATAATTTCTGCAAAATAGGCAATTGGGATTTTGATACGGATTGCACGGAATCTGCAGACAAATTTGGGGAGTATTTCCATCTTGACAATATCAAGTTTTCCAGTCCATGAACGTAGGATGTCTTTCCGCTTATGTAGGTCTTCTTTTACTTTTTTCAATGATGTTTAGTAGTTTTCAGTGCAAAAGTCTTTTATTTTGTTAAATTCCATCTAAGTGTGTTCATATATAAATTTATTCTTTTTGATACTATGTAAGCAGAATTGTTTTCTTAATTTCATTCCTGGGTAGTTCATTGCTAGTGTATAGAAACACAACTGATTTTCGTATGTTGATCTTGTATCCTGCACCTTCAATGAACTTATTAGTTCTAATGTTTTCTGTGTGGATTTCTCATGATTTTCTCTACATAAGGTCATGTCATCTGTAGCTGGAGAGTTCTACTTCTTCCTCTTCAACCTGGATTCCTTTTATTTCATGTTCTCCCCTAATTGCCATGGCCAGAGCCTCCAGTAAAATGTTGAGTACAAGTGGTGAGAGAGGACATCCTGCTGCTGTTCCTGACCAAATGGAGAGCTTTCCTTCTCTCACTATTGAGTATAGTAGTCAAGGGTTTATCTTAGATGGTCTTTATCAGTTTGAGGGTGGTCCCTTCTATTTCAAGTTTGGTGACTGTGTTTTTCTGTGTCTGTTGAGATGATCATGCGGTTTTGTCCTTTATTCTATTAGAATGGCATATTAAATTGATTGATTTTCATATGTTAAATCAATCTTGCATTCCTGGGATAAATCTTGCTTGGTGATTTTTATATGTTGCTGGATTCGATTTGCTGGTATTCAATCGACCAATTCTGCATCTATATTCATAAAAGATATTGGTCTGTAGTTTACTTTTCTTGTGATGTCTTTGTTGGGTTTGGTGTCAGGGTGATCCTGGCTTTGTAGGATGAGGTGGGAAGTCTTCTTCTTCTTCTTGTACTTTTTGGTGCTTTCTCTTCACTGCATCTTCCTGGTGTTGCTCTGTGTAACTGCCTTGCTCAGTGGAGTCCAGTACTTGGCCCAGCCACTTCCCTGGGAGTTTACAGTTCACTGCATCAACCACAAGCAGCCACAAGTATGCACTGGATGTTGGTGCCTGTGAAAGGGAGTGTGGTGAATCCCCTCTCTGGGTAGATAAGAAGTCAGTGTTCTGAAACCCTGCACACCAGCTCTCAAGTGGTCATTAGATAGGCCTTGGGGGAGCTCCTGTTAGAAAATTGCCCATGCCTATTGGTTGGAAATGCATCTTTCTGGATTTTTGTGAAGGCATTTCAGAACAAGGAACATCTGCTCAATCATGTTTAGGTCACACAGCAGCGAGGTACAGGAGAAGTCATCGCTGCAGGAAGTGGGAGTCCATCTGAGAAGTTCCTCAAGACAACATCGTCAAAATGTCAGAAGGGGCAAGGGGGCTGGCTAAGGCAGAGTGTTCTAAATGGCACCATCCTGTCTGAGAGTCCAGGATCCTGTCACCTTCCCACTGAGGCAGACAGTCTGTAGCTACCCCTAAAATCCCATTCCACAAACCACATATAAACCTGAAAACATGGGGAATGTTCTGGGAGAAGAGGATATCTGTGTTGGTTTTGCTTTGCTTGCATGGATTGTATCATTTCACTGTAAACAAGTTAACACCCTGTGACACCAACCTTCCCTCTTTCAAAGAAGTGGGAGAAGCAGAAGGATAAAGACCTCTCAGCCACAGGAATAAATAAGCCTGAGGGGGGTTTGTGATGGTCACATGATGAGACACATGGTGCCTCCCCATGATGCAAGGACCGGCATGGAGTAGACACTCAGTCTATGATACCTCTCATGGATCTCCACAAATGGGGAGCTGCTGTTAGGGTGCCCAGGCTTGACAGGTGTTCCTGGGCTAGGAGAGGTTGCCACTGGTGTTTGAGGGCCCCTAGGGGTGCCCTAAGATAGAGGGCTGGAGGTCATGCCCAGGAGTCTGCCTGCATCTTTTCAGGACACTGTCTGTAGCTAGAAGATCAGAACAGCTGGCATGAATTCTGCCAATTCACAGAAGACTCCCCAAAACTGAGCACTTTCTCATCAATGGATGAGGGTGGATTCCTGCTCTTATTGTGCCAGGAGGTCAGTGATGGCCCAGGGCCTCTCAGCAAGATTCATACCCTCATCTTACCAGAGTCTCGCCTGACATCTGCAGGCACCGCCCCCTCAGTGTTGAGGGGCCTGGATGGTGCCCAGCTGTTGGAGTATGTGTGTTGGGATAGGGATCAAGGAGGGTGTCTGCCTCAGGACCTTAACCCTCATGAGCTTCCCGAGACCACCCCAGTGACCGGGGTTACTTACCTGGTGGCCTGGGCTTCCTCATCTGTGATCTGAGCATGGTAATAGGGTTTCCCTAGAACATGGTGAGCTCCTGTGGAGATGGGTGAGGTGTGGGTAGGGTGGGCTGAGTGGGACCTGGAGGTGGTGCCCAGCTCTGGATATGTTCCCAGAGTTTGGGGTGGGCATAGAGTGATGGCTGCGGTATTGACAGAAGGTGAGTGGCAGCAACTCTTGCAATAACAGACTCAGGCCACAGAAGAGGTGAAGGCTCGGGTACTGGGGACAGGGGCACAGCGGAAGTAGATGCGTCAGTGGCGTGATGGTGGCCTGTTGTACTGTGGGGCCTTGGCTTCAGGCGCAGGGTCCAGGGTGGCCTGCACTCCTGACAGCGTGCGCTGATACACTAGCCTGGTGGGGCGGGCAGGAGGGTGATGAACGCTGCTGTCTGAAGCCAGGTGACCGCCTCTCCCAGAACACTCCCGTTCCTGGTGCTGGAGGCCTGGCCCAGCTTCCAGGAAGTCTCAGGTTTCCACCCTGCTCTGGGATCCCAGACCACTGGAGAGGTTCCTAGTTGGGTTCCCCAGGCCTGCCCCTTCCCCACCCTCAGAGCCCCTTCCAAAGACACTCAGGTCTAGCTCCACCAGGCTCCCTCCCTTGTCTGGGAGGCAGGCCAAAGGGATCTCCATGCTTCCTGTGACCTCCTGCCGAACCTGCTCACAGGCCCTGATCCCTGCCTCATCCAGCCCTCCAGTGGGCCAGTGGTTCCAGGCTTGGGTCCCCATGGCAGGGTAGAGCCAGGACTGAAGGCTGGTCAGGACTTGGCTGGGCAGCCTGTCACTCCCCTCTGGCCCTCGTAGATGCTGGTGGCTGGCTTGGTGCTCCTCTCGGCTGCCCAGCATGGCCCCCGGGGGCTTCCCAGCACCTCCAGCCTGGCGAGTTTCTGCCAGAAGCTGAACCAGATGAAGACACTGAAGGAGTCCACCAGGGAGACATCACTGCTGTGCTACCTGACCATGCTGGACCTGACCCTGCAGGGTGTGGGTGGTATGACGGGTTTTGGCCTGTACATGCTCACAGGCACCATGGCCAAGGAGATGGCCGGCCGTGTGGTGCTTGTGTCCTTCAGCGTGGCTGCTGCTGTCTCCTTGCTGGCAGAACTATGCCATGCAGAGTTCGGGTCACGTGTGCCCACCACGGGCTCTGCCTACCTGTTCACTTACATGTCCATGGGCGAGTTGTGGGCCTTCCTTGTTGGCTGGAACATGCTCCTCTGTTGCCTCATTGGTGGCACCGCCGTGGCTCACACCTGGTGTGGCTACCTGGACACCATCTTCATCTACCGTATCTGCAGCTTCACTGTGGCCCATGTAGGCATCTGGCAGGTGCCCCTCCTGGCACACTACCCAGACTTCTTGGCAGCTTCCATTCTACTTTTGACCTCTCCTCCTCTCTTTTGACTTCATCTCCTGCAGAGTCCTCATCTCCTCCAGAGTCTGCATCTCTTGCTGGCTCAATCACACCTTCTCTGCCATCAGCACGCTCATCATCCTCTTCATCATCATCATGGGGTTTGTCCTGGCCCGCCCACACAACTGGAGTGCTGAGGAGGGCGGCTTTGCACCCTTCGGCTTCTCTGGCATCACGGCCAGTGCTGCCACCTGTTTCTATGCCTTTTTGGGCTTTAGTGTTATTACCTCTGGTGAGGCCCAGAACCCAAAGCGAGCAGTACCTATGGCCATCGTCATCTCCCTTGGCCTGGTGGCTGCTGCCTATGTCCTCGCCTCCAGTGTGTTCACCCTCATGGTGCCCTGGCACAGCCTGGACCCTAACTGGGCAGTCGCTGATGTCTTCTACCAGCGGGGCCATAGCTGGGCGGGCTTCATCGTGGTGGCTGGCTCCATCTGTGGTAAGGGGCCCTTCTGGAACAGTTGGGAGTGGACAGGGCGGTGGGGCCATGCCCTAAGCCTCCCAAGGAACACATCTCCATCTGGGCCTGTGCTCCGTGTCGTATCATGGGCCCAGGAAAGGGCTAATGATTAGACTCTCCATCCAGGCTTGTTGGGAGGGACCTACTCACCACCCCTGCCAATTGTACACGGAATGTCAGCTCTGGGCACGTACTTCCAGGGCCTTTTCTGGCGAAAGGACTCAGCCCTCATCAAAATCTCCAGTGGGCCTGTCACCTAAACTGGGCTGTCCCATTCCTGGGTGGAAGGGGGGAACAAGCCAGCACCCCACATACAGTCAGGCTCACTCTGAGGGCCCAAACTCATGCCCATGTTCCCAAGGGGCCAATGCCCTGGCCCCAAGCAGTGGCCCCTAGTGGGCCTATCCACCATGCTAACCCATCTCACACCCTCTGCCACAGCCACGACCACTGTCCTGATTCAGCAACCTACTTTACCTGCCACACATCATCTATGGCATGGCCACCGATGGGCTCTTTTTCCAGGTGTTTGCCCACGTGCACCCACAGACGCAGGTGTCTGTGGTGGGCATCCTGGTGTTCGGGGTCCTCATGGCTTTCCTGGCTCTGCTGCTGGACTTCAGGGCACTGGTCCAGTTCCTGTCCTTTGGTGCACTGCTGGCCTACATCTTCACAGTCACCAGTATTATCATGCTACGCTTCCAAAAGGCCCCTCCATCCAGTTCCCAGAGCCCAGTCAGCCCTGTGGGCACAGAGCTGGCCTCAGCCCCTGAACCCAGGCAGCTGCGACCAGCCCTGAGGCCCTACCTTGGCTTCCTGGGTGGGGGCAGGCCTGGAGCTGCCGTGGCTTGGGCACTTGGTGTCCTCGGCCATCACTCTGGACTGCGTGCTGGTCTTCGGGGACTCGGCCCTGCACCTCCCACTCTGGGGCTACACCCTGCTGCTGCTGCTCAGCTCCGTCATGTTTCTGCTCAGTCTCCTCGTCCTGGGGGCCCACCAGCAACAGCGACTGCAGGACACCTTCCAGGTACTTCCTCTAGCCAACACCCATCACTCTCAGCCCAGCCGGCTACCCTCACTCCTTCCTCCTCTGCCGTGGCAAGCGCACCAGGGCTAACAGGGCGGGGGAGGGCAGTACCCCATCCCCCTCTTTCTGCACGGCAAGTGGGCCCTTGTCTCCAGAATCTCCAGAGAAGGAGAAGACTGTGCACTCCCACGACATCAGGCCCTTGGCCAGCAGACCTTCCCACAGCCCAGCCCAGCTCTGCCCTTGCCCCCTCAGGTTCCCATGGTGCCCCTGACTCCAGCCCTGAGCATCCTCCTCAACATCTTCCTCATGCTGCAGCTGAGCCACCTGACCTGGCTGAGTTTCTCCATCTGGCTACTGATTGGTGAGTGGATGGCCAGGCTGGGAGCCAGGGTGGACTGCTGTACGAGGGCAAGCAGGGAAGCAGTGCTGGGACTGCTCCCTCAGTGTTGCACCACCCTTGCAGGATTTGCAGCGTATTTTGGCTACAGCATCCGGCACAGCAAGGAGAACCAGTGGGAGCGGCTGGGGTTGGCTGCCCCACGTGGCAGCAGGGAGGAGACAGCACAGGCCCTGCAGACCCCCAGCCAGACACTGGCCCAGGAGCCCAGCTACATGGAGTAGCCTACAAGTCCATGAGGACCACTTGGGGCCCGCCCACCTGGCCCCACTTCATCAGGGGCCAGAGGCGCTGGCAGCACGTTCTATCCAAGGCAGGTCAGGTTTGCAGGCCTGCCCATGCTGGAATGTCCTCAGGACCTTAGCCCACGTGCCAAGCTTCGAGTCCTTGGGAGTGGGCTGTGGCCAGCATTGGTGTGGTGGACTCTTCGCCCAGTGCCTTCCAGTTTATGACCAACTCCAGCTACCTAGGCAGGTGGAGTACGGTGGGCAGAGAAGAGGCCCGCAGCCCCAGGGATCCACAATAATAGCTGCTGGGCCTGTCACGTGACCTGTTGCTGTGTCCACCTGGCATTCTTTGTGGCAGTCTTCTCCCTTCCCCAGGAACCGAGAAATTTTCCCCAATCCACAGCAAAGATGCTGAGGTTCTGTTGGGAGGTTCAGCCAGGGCAGAGAGAGCCCTGAGAGGGACGTGGCCAGGCCTGAGTCACAGGGCCCTGCCCTCAGGCCAGTGCCCTTTGCCCAGCTCAGAGGGGAGCTACACACCAGGTACAGAGGAGTCCCTAACCAGGTGGGGTCAGGCTTCATCCCAGGTTCCCCACCTGTCCCCTGAGGGTGGATTCTGAGGGCAGAGCCTAGACCACTAGTAGGTTTCCTGGAAAGGACAGTGCAGTTCTGGGGTTCCCTCGGTTTCCCAGGACTCCCAGCGAGCAGTGCTTGTACACGACGCCTGCCCCAGGATGTAGAGGTCCACCTGCCCGGGTACATGATTCTCTCTGGCACTGGTGCACAGGCCCACACGGCTCCCCTGGGGGTGCACACCCACGTGCCGACTGAGGCAACAGCTGTTTCCAAGCTCAGGGCTGCCCACAGATCTCCAGCTGCCTCTCGCCCTGCCCGCCCCTCAGGGCTTTGTGATAAAGGCTCGGGATGGCACACGTGCAAATTGGTGCACAAACGCCTGGGCCTGCTCCAGGTAACTTCCAACCCACCTGGTGGCAGTGGGGCCCCATCCTTGCAGGTCCCCAGGCCCAACCTACATCCCTACTAGTCTCCCCAAGGCCATGCTACGTGTACCATAGACGCCCCCACTTCCCCGTTCCTGCCTGGAAGGACCACACAGGAAGCTTCTGGCTCCGGCAGCTTTACTCCTCTGCTCTCTGCAGCCTTGACCTCCGCTTTCTCTGGGCCCCAAAGACAACCAGGTACCTGTGACCCAGCTCCAATGACCTAAATGCTTAGGGCTGTGTTCTCTCACCCTGGCCCTTCTGAAACCGCCTCCCGTGGACACTGCTCTGGGGATTGAGAGGAGCAGGGACCCCAAGGCTTTGCTGAGGCTCCAGGTGCCAGATGATTCCAGATGCTGCCCAGCCTGAGCCCCAGCCCTGGCCCATGTCGCTCCACCAGCAAGCTGCCATGTCCCTGGTCACCAAGGACCCATGAGAAAGCAGCCCCTTGTCTTGGTGCGGTGGGTTCCCCCAAATCCCAGCCCCTCCCTGGGACCAAGAGAGGGCTTGGCTCATGCAGCCCGTCTCTCCCCTCCTGACCCTGGGCCCAGGGGGCACGGGGAAATTCTCCAGCAGGAGGTCCTCCAGGCAGGACTCAGGCCCCCTGGAGGATTCCAGAGCCAGAACCAGGCCAACCTGCTGGGGGCTTCCATGTCCTCTGTTAAGGACATTCTTTCCAGCCCCTGGGCTACACTTGGGGTCTTGGTCAGAGCGTGGTCCTCATGCAGTTGCTTCAGGCTGGGGTGGGCAGCTGCCCAGCTGCCCAGACACGTTCTCAGGAGTGACTTGTGGCAGTAGTGACATGTGTCCAAATATACAGCCTTCCCACCTCATGGCTACCAGGAAGCCGGATGAGCAGGTTCCTAGGTGGTGGGCTGGGGGTCTCCAAGGAGACATACAGAAGGACCCAAAGGACCCCATGCCCACCAGCTCAGCCCCTCCACACTCCTCCCCACCCCAGCTCTCCACAGCCTGAACGCTGCCACTGGGAAGGGCCCAAGAGGTGCCTGTGCCCTTGCCTGGCATCCTAGCAGGTCCTATCGTGTGCCCACTGCAATCCTCATTCCCTGGATGAGGCCCCCCTGCTGGGAGGGAACCTGCCCTAGGAACCCAGCCCCAGAGCAGCTGAGATGACTCCTCCTGTCACGCTTCTTTCTTCCTTGCCTTGGACTCTGGCTGCACAGATCCCCATGCAGGGCCACTGAGAGGATCAGGGGTCTACTGTGAGGGGAGTGCTGGCAGGGGAAGGAGGGCTGGGAGCCAGGCAGGGCTGCTGTCAACCACAGCCAGCTTGGGGACAGCTGGTGAGTGGGGAGCTACTGGGAATGCTGGAGACAGACTGGGAGAGTGTTCACCAGACCAGACCCAGCAGGAGCACCAAAGTACCAACGCCTTGTGTTGTTTCCCCCTGCAGGTCTCTAGACAAAACTGGCTTCTGTGGTCCCCAGGCAGCACCCTGCCGAGGCTGGAGTTGGGGGAGGGACAGTCTATCTAGGAGCTAAAGGGTGGAGTTCTCACCCCACCCCCTATCCTGGTCCTGCTAAGGCTTCATCCACAAGTCCCCAAGGCAGGCCCCCACCCTTCCCAACCCCCAAACCCCAACCAGCAGAGAAAGGCTCCAGGCCTCAGGAATGGGCTGGCAAGTGCCCAGCTCCCAGCAGCAGCAGTGGGGGCAGGTGCTGGGCCCCCTCTAAGGCACTTGGGCAGCCGGATGTGGGGGTGGGGAAGCCGGCTCTGTCTGCTCAGGGTTGGCAATGCCCTTGAGGGCCTTTCCCTAGAGACGAAGACAGCAGGTCAGGGCTCCAGCCTCCATCCTCCAAAGAGTAGCCAAGGGTCCAGGTAGGCCCGCAGCTCCCCTCCTCAGACTTGGTCCTCCAGGAGAAATGGGCTTCCCCATCTATGTACAGCAGCAGCAGGTCACAGGAGAAGGTGATCTGGGAGAGGCAGGGCAGACCCACGTCCTGGCCCCCTACCTGCCATCCCTCCGCCTCCCCAGCCCTCACCCGGACAATCATGTCAGCACAGAGGGCTCAGGTATGCACTTGGGAGGGCACGTGCCAGCAGCCAGAGGGAGCCACGTTGGCCAGACTACCCACACCAAGCTAAGCAGCTTCAGTGCCCAGAGTGAGGGCTGTGGGGATGAGCTTGAACTTCCTTGCCTGAGGGAGACCTGGGCTGAGCCTCTCTGGCTGTGGATGATGTCCCCTCCCACTCCTTACCCCTAACCACTCCCACCCACTCCAGCCTGTCCCCTGCCTCCCCAGTGACAAGAATGTCTAAGTAGACCCCATAGAGCCTGAGCAGGCTCCGGGCCTCCACTCCTGAGGCCTCCCACCAGTGAGTGGCTGTCCTGGGGGTAGGAGAGAGTCTAGTGACCTGCTCTGGCCACTCCTGGGATGGACTGTCCCTCACAGGCATCATCTTCCTCATCCATTGACTTCATCCACCCCCAGCCTGAGTCCTGAATCTCAGACATATGTCATTGCTGAGGACACAGGGGACAAGCCCCCTGTGCTATGGAGGGAGATACTGGAGGCAGATGGAGTGGAGGAGGAACTGGGGTGAAGGGTCCCAGCTGCAGCAGGGGTGTGGGGACATATGGGGTGGAGGCCAAAGGGCTCAGGAGGGAGGCTGGACGGAGCCTGTGCTGCGGGACCTGGAGCTGAGAGCGCCCCCTCTCGCCCTGGGGACCCCTCCACACACAGCAGAGCGTCCAGAGGGATGGGCCAGGCTGGGGTCTGTCCTGGCCGCCACAGGAGGACAGGTGAAGGCAGACCTGGCTGAGGAGCAGTAGGGGACAGTGGGGCTGCACCTGAAGCCGTAGCTCATCTCCTGTAGCTGGAAGGAACTGTGAGGCCACGGTGGGAGTCCCCGGCACCAGGTCACAATGGCAGCAGACGTGGATGCCCACAGCCCCGCCCTGCACACAGTGCATCACTGCTCCACCAACACGCAGGCAGGGACCCTCTCCCCGAGCCCTCCCAGAACCCTGTCCCTCACGGAGCCACCAGCAACACCAAGTCCTCACAGACCCCTCCAGCCGCAGCCACGAGGTCCCTGATGCGGAACACGGGGCAGTGGAGCTGAAGTGTAAGTCACAGTAGCAGCGCTTGAAATAGGTGGCGTCCCAGGTCTCCAAGGGATTGGACCTGAGAGGGGGTAGGGCCGGGGGGTCAGCCCAGGGAGGGGACAAGGAGGAACTGGGGCAGCCAGGACCCACTATGCTGACCTGGAGAAGTTGAACTTGCTGAAGGTGATAGGGTTTTTCATGAACAGCATGAGGTTCTCAGCCTGGACTAGCAGGGGCTTCCTGCAGGTGGGGGAGGTCAGGGGCAGGCTCTGCTGGTCCTGGGACCTGCTCTGGGTGTTGGGGACACTTACACGGGCACAGTGTCACTTTCTATGGGACACCAGCCCCGGATCTCACAGGGCCTGTGGGTCCCATTGAACTCCACACACTGGCCTGTTTTGATGCCTTGAAAACAAGACAAACTCCAGGCCCTCAAGTCTCCACACGGCCTGGGGAGGGAGTGGGCAGGGGGCTGTTGGCAGAAAGAAGAGATGCAGAGGCACCACCAGGCCCACAGTGGGAGCCACGTGGGGTCCCAGCACGGCCCCCCGAACCCCACTCCCAGTGGAGGCGCTGGAAGACAGGCCCACAGTTACCGTGGCTGTGCGTCCCCGTCTCCCCTCAGCACAAACCTCGCCAGCCCAGCGGTTCACAGTGGGATGGAGGGTGCTGAGGTGGTGAGAGAGCAGAGTTGTCCAGGCCCAGGAGGCGTATCCCATTCGTGAAACAGCCCTGCAATCTCCAGGGACACGCCCCTCCCCCTCTTAGCCCCCAAGGTCCCCTGAGTTTGGGGGCACATGGGAAAGCTGGAGGGTGCAAATAAAAGGAGGTGGTCAGAGGTGCGAGGGTGAGCAGCCCCGAACAGATCGGGGTGCAGTGCTGTATCCCAAGGCAGAGCAAGACTCCTTCCCTCCTGATAGTTCTGTCCCCGGTGGGGGCAGAAGTGACTCCTC